ATCACCGAAACGAAGAGGAAAGGAAAAGGCGAACTGAAGATCCAGAACTACACTCTTCTGTACTCGGGGGTCAATGAGAGAGAGGGAGCAGCCAGCGGAGTAGGGATCATGTATCATAATGATCTTGCATCAGGAATTAAAGGTTGGAAATTTGTGAGCGATCAAATCATGATCCTAAAAATTATTGAGGAGAAAGACATCCAATCTTTGATAGTTGCATATGGGCCAAACGATAGTGCAAGAGCAGATGAAAAGGATTCATTTTTCAATTCCATTACAAACAGAAATAGACGACTGTGAGGGTAATCCTATAATTCTTGGAGACCTGAATGGTAGAATGGGCCGCGATAGTGGAAGATGGCCAAAAGTGTTGGGATCTCACGGTGAAGACAATTTAAATGATAATGGGGAACGAATTCTGAATTTATGTGTGGCAAACAACCTGGTGGTAGGTAACACCTTCCCTCTTAAACAAAAACATAAATATACTAGAGAGGAACCCAGCAGGAACGAAAGGTCGATCATCGATGATATACTAGTTAAGAGGGAAGAGTTCAGAAATGTACAAGATGCCAGAGTGAAGAGGGGCTTCGAAATAGGCAGTGACCACTACCTGTTAATGCTCGATAAAGTTTGGAATGACAGTAAAATGAGGAACAGATGTGTAGGTAGTAAGAACAAAACGATTAAATCTTACAGGCTGAAGGAGGATGAAATGGCCCAATACTATCAGGAGGAAGTGGAAAGGATGTCACGAGATACCTACCAATCATGGGATAGCGATGATATTGAGGAGAGCTGGACAGCATTTAGAAATATCATTCTTGATGCCGCGAGACTCGTCTGTGGTCAGAAGAGCATTGGGTCAAATTTCAAGCGAACTGCTTGGTGGACAGAGGATGTAAAGAGAGTTGTTAAGGAGAAGAAAGCAGCTTGGAAAGACTTTATGAGCCAAAGAACACCCATTGCTCACCAAAAGTACAAAGAAAAGAGAAATGAAACAAAAAGTAAAGTACTTCTAGCCAAGAGGAAATCGTGGGCAGATCTGGGGCACAAACTTGAAGAAAACCAAGAACTATTCTTCAAAGCAATCAAAGAAATGCGCAAGGAGAGACCCATTACATTGAAAGGAATTAGGAGCAGAGAGGGGAACATTGTCTGGCGGGATGATGAGATAATGGAGAGGTGGAGAGAGTATTCTAAAGAGCTGCTAGAAGGAACAGATTGGAACCTAAACGAGATCCAGGTTGTAGAGGAGGATTCCTTAGAAGAGGACGACTACATTGATGAAGAAGAATTGCTGGAATCCATCGCCAAGATAAAACTCGGCAAGTCGGCGGGACTGGACGGAATCACTCCGGAAATGATGAGGTTTATGGGAAGTAAAAGCCAGGAAATGTTTCTCCATCTTGTGAACCTGGTCTGGAAACAGAAGAAGATCCCGAAGGACTGGAAAGTCGCAGTCTTAGTGCCAATATATGGGAGACAACAGGGACTGCAACAACCATCGAGGTACCTGCGCCTTAGTGTTCCCAGTAAAATATACTCAAAAATCCTAGAGGCAAGGGTCAGAAGCACCGCAGAATCCAAGATTGGAGAGGAGCAGTATGGATTCAGGAGTCAAAGAAGCACACAGGATCTAGTTTTCACTATGCGACAAATCACAGAGAAGCTTGTCGAGAGGGGAAAGGAACTCTCAGTGTGCTTTGTAGATCTCTGCAAAGCCTTTGACCGGATTAGGAAAAAGGATATAATTGTGGCTCTAGAGGAAAAAGGTGTAAATAATAGACTTATAAGGGCCGTAAGCAGTTTATACGGAAATACGAGGAATCTTGTTAGAACAAGAAACCATACCTCTCGAGAGTTCAAAACAACACTGGGCATACGACAGGGTTGTAGCCTGAGCCCACTTCTTTTCATACTGGTTCTCGATCTGGCGCTGGGAAAAGCAAAACAGAAGATGCGAAGTTTTCAGTTGGGTCACAGAGATATGCAGCCTACTCTATACTCTCTGCTGGCGTTTGCGGATGACCTCGTCATATTGGCCCAGAATGACCGTGACCTCCAGAACAATATTAATATCCTAAAGGAAGATTTAAGAAAAATCAATATGAAAATTAACCCTGAGAAGACGAAATGCATGCGCATTGGAAGAAAAGCCTCACAGGGTTATGAGGGTATTGAGGGTCGACGGTGAGATTTTAGAGCAGGTGGACAGTTTTAAATACTTAGGTGCCCAACTCAACGAAAATGAATATATTGACGAGGAGGTAAGGCAGAGAATAGGAGCTGCTGGAAGAATGTTCGGATCGGTTAGGAAAGGCTTTCTGAACCGAAAAGAGGTGACCAAGGAAACGAAGATGACGGTCTACAGATCAGTATTCCTTTCCTATACTGACGTATTCTTCCGAATCCTGGACACTTACTTCGAAATACAGGAGCCAGATCCAGGCTCTAGAGATGCGATCACTGCGAAAAGTGGAGGAAAAGACTAGACGAGACAGAATTCGCAATACTACAATCCGTGCCAATCTCGACGCCAAAGCGGTCGAAACCACTATAGAAGAACACAAGTTGAGATGGTTTGGACACCTTCTCCGTATGGACCGGAACAGAGTCGCACGGAAGACATATGAGACTGTTTAATAAATAACAGGGCGTGCAGGGTAGGAGACCAAGAGGAAGAACCAGAATCTCCTGGAAGAAGCGTGTGAGATGCATTCCAGAAACGAGGTTTGGAATGGAACAGGAGACGAGAGCTGGTACTGGAAAGGTCCACCTGGTCCAAGCTCTACAAGAAGCAACCTCACACTGCATAGGCGGTAAAGAGGAATATGACTATGATGATGATGATACTTTTTGAAAGGGTCCTCTTGAAAATACCATTGACTGTCAGATTCTATACATAATCCAATTTTAGTTATAGTATCAGTTCCCAAGATAGCGAGAACTGACCGAGACGGCATGGAATGTAATTTTACTTGGAAACTTTTTCCCATAAGATATACTTCTACTAAAATTGCTTTTATAATGGTACATGAAACACCATTTGCTAGCATTAGTAAATGGGTTCTATAAAAACTTTTTGTAACGACCAATTGGCCACAATTTTTAATCCATCAGTTCCAATATAATACTTGTTAGAACTGGTGTTTTTATGTCCATCCCTTCTTCATCTTTTAGGAGGCTACATGGGTTTTTTCCCAGACTAGAAGATAGGGTGGGGGATTAATGCCAAATTTAAAATCCACCGGCACCGGGACTGGAACTCAAAATCATTTTATCATTTAAATTTTGGTTTATCAGGTCGCCACACAATGCTTGTTTGGCAGAGGCATTTTTTATATGTATTACTTTGATAACGAAAAGGTCTAACATTTTAGAAATGTCAGCTTCGCGGCGACAATATTGCTCAATAGTTATAATCGGAATGTTACGTGTACAATGTGCCCTCTTTGCCAACAGAACGAGATGTACGACCTGCACCTCTCAGTTTGCCCCGCTCTGTCAGATGTCCACAGTACTTCTGATGCGATCGGAACAAATTTAAACAAAGGATTCATGGCAGAGTTGTATTGGGCTGCCAGGAGCCGAATGGCCTAATAGCCAACGGCAGAGGCGTTTAATAAAAAAAAAAAAAATGTCAGCATCACTAATTGCATGAACCTCGTTTATTCTTTTATTACTTTACGGCTAGATAAGGGGAAAGATATTGAGGTGTAAACTTCAAAGTTTCTTTAGCCAATAAATAGTTTTCTGGTGTAAATTGGAAATTGGATATCACGGCTGCCGCATTAGCTTTTAGGCATTTTTTAAGGCATTGAAATTTTTGAATGTCATTAAGACTTTCGTTTTGTTCCTTCAAACTATTAAATAAAGAAATAAGTTCATACCAATGTTCAATGTACTCCGAAAAGGAAGGAAGTACAGTAGGTGGTAGTTTGATAATTTGAGAATTGGAGTTAGCTTGTCTTACGCCACATTCATCTTTTATAAGAACGACCATAGCTAACAATAGGAAATTTCTCTTAGCTGCATCTAATAAATCATTAAAAGCTTCACCAATTTGTTTTGTTTCTAAACGCAATGGTTCGTCTGATCTCGAAATGTTATGTTTTTTTATGGAGCTTTGATTATTGCCAAAATTTCCTCTGAAGATGATAATCGATCAATACTTGGTCGAAAATTTTCTTTCTTTTTCAAATCTAGGTTTTTAGATTTATTATAAATACTTTAGACTGATGCGAATATGTCTTCCTGATTACTTTTTAATAATTGTGTCCGCTGCTTTTCAGAAAGATTTTCTATTATAATTAGTCAGATACAACAAAATATCATTCTTTTTATAACTTGTTAACTGAAGGATGTATGAATTAATATTAGGTCCTAAATTGCTATTTTAACGTAAATACATAAAATGTTTTCCTAATTTATTGCAAATATATTTACGAAAATGATGCTTCACTGGTACGATATTCTCAGTATGAGAGTTTTAATCTTAAGAAATATTCTCCTTATGCTTTCAGGTGATTTTTCTAGGTATTCACAATCATAATTGTTCACAATGTAGCCAGAATGAAAAACAAGTGCCCTAATGGTAAAAATGACCTGTTTAATAAATAACAGTATTCATGGTCTACTGTAAGGGCACTCATGTTACATGCTCATTAAAAAGCATGGAACTAGCTACACTAGTAAAAAACTTCCTATGATTTTGCCTGAGGTAACTGATATTTAGCATAATCTGATCCAGTGCATTATTCACTCTAGTTGCTTCACTACTGACCATGTGCTAGATATTCATCAAACTGAGAAGTCTGGCATCAATCTGCATTCCATGATATCTAATGGATTCCTCTACCTCACTTATCTTTTCATTATATGCACTGTCTCGGTTTTATTATCAGCAAGCTGGAGACCTACCTGTTTATGTGTATGTTTAGATAATAGCTATTTTATTTCAATAAATCATTATTAATTTTATTATGATGTTATTTCAGATGCAAAAATCTCTCAGAATACATGAAGATAGCTGAAAAAGTAAAAGAATTTTTTCATAATGAGGGCATACATTCAACAACTATTCAGCCTGAGTTTATTGAAGTTGATGTGAGTTTATTATTTTTGGCATATATTAAATTCTTGATACTTTTAATATCACTATTAATATACAACACAGTAAAAATGGATGGGATGTGAAAAATGATGTTTTGTGAGCATTTATAGAGAATATTAGTAACCATTTCAATGATCATCATGTTTTGTTTTTTTTAATTTTCAGTTATTTTGATTAGTAAATTTTTTTTCAATCATGACCAGAAAAAGTTTAATGCAATTAAATAGTTTATATGAGAGAGAGAGAGAGAGAGAGAGAGAGAGAGAGAGAAATACTTTATTGAAAGTAGTGCTGCACTACTATATAGGGCTGTTTTTTACGCAGCATACTGATGAATCCATATGGACATAGCTCTTACATCATATTATTCCATTGTTATATAAACATATCATATTTTTTTAATCCTTTTTCACAACACTAGTCCATGTACGATATCATTAACAATACAACATCAAACAATTACCATTATGCAATACATATATTTTATGATTAAAAAAAAAAAAAAAAAAAGGATTTGAATACTAGAAACACAAGAATAAATCGCACACATATATCAACTCAATTCCTTGAATATTTACGAAAAGATAAGACAAAGTTAAAAAATTAAAATTAAATAAATCAATAGATAAATGATAAAGGACATTCTAAATTCACTGTCAATTGCTATACAAGTGATAGTGGATGATCCCTAGGGAGACCAGAATAATATTCTCGGCCAATATTGCACGCTCCCCAACATCAACACCTAGTTCCTCGAGAAAGTCATTGTTCTTTTTGGGATCATTCCGTGAGACCCAAACCAGAGGCCTCTCAATGTGAACTGTCTCTCCCTCCGAAGGTCTCACGGAATTTCTCTTTTAGGAAAGGGATACATTTATCGTATATGTTTTTCTATTCCCTTTCTACTTCATCCGGCTGATCGAGGTCATTGTTCTCAAAGCGAACAGTTGGATCTAAGATCAGAGCTGTCTTTCCTGTCCTGGGAAATGCAACAATGTCCACATACATGGTTGAATCTTCACTGTCGATGCAATAGACCTCGTCGAAACAGGTGAATTCCCGAAGGAGCCTCATCAATTCAAACTTGACTCTATCTCTATGCTGCTGGCGTGTTATGAGGGGGTAGTTGTTATGCCATTTTCCCAGCACTTGGGCTGGTGTTTCAGACTCTCTGCCGCACTTACACCAGAGGGACCCAACTTCCTTCGACTGTCCACTGGCTCCTGGAACTCTGGAATGCTGGAACTGGCAAAGGTGCGTAATTGATGTTGATTTTTAAGGCCTTGGACCATTCTGATCACGAAAACACTTGCTTATGGCATATGTATTTATTAGTTTTCGGGGTTTCCTTAAAATGCCGAACTCCAACGCCTTGCCACCTGCAGCTGACCCATTCTTCTAAAGAATTTTCTATTAGCGACTGTCATAGAGCTCTCATATTTTGGTGGCTCTCATCCACTCCCAGTCTTTCTGCACATTCGGCAATTTTCGCATTATAATGAAATGTGGACTGGAACAGGGCATCCAGTACATAGGACAGTCACTGGGCAATGGACCAATGCTGCAAAGGAGCCTCCTATTGACAGCGGGTCAGTCCCATTCCTCGATACTTCCTCGGTGCATACAACATCAACCATAACGGTTGATAACGGTGATACTCCTGCAAATATTTGTATCAATTCCTTCCAATATCGCAGGATGTATCTTTGTGAAGGGCGTTGTCTGGAGAGGGTAGGTAAGTCGTATTGGTTGACAACGTTGATCTTTTGCTCCGGTTTAAGAAGGCGATAGCGTACCAAGTTATCCAAATTATTGTTCAATTTAGTCACCATTTCCTCATTCAGTACCAGCTCTCCGAAGAACTTACATCCTAAGTACTTTAAAGTCTCACCAGCCTTTGCTGAATCGATGGTTTCTTCGTTCTCTAGGGAGAGCTTTGTTTGTTGCAGCTCTCCTTTATCGATTATTAAGCCCACACTTTTTTCTGGATTTACAGCCAGATCAATCTCGGCGAGGATCCTCTGCACACAATTGATAATCTCCTCTGCAGCACCCCTGGTCATCCGCAAAGGCTGTGAGGACCACACATTCTTGGTCGCTTGTTAGTTGGTATCCATAAAGCTAAAATTCCTGCTCATACAGGTCACGGTATAGACTGTCTATAGCCAGGTTGAACAGCGAAGGCGATAAGGGTCCGACTTCGGGTACTCCTTGCCGCCCTTTGATCCAGTTTGTCGAATGGGCTCCGACTCCAATCTTGATTTAGTTTGAGCCCAGGAGAGCGGCAGTCACGTTTTTCAGGTTTGGTGACACTCGTCTTGCCTTGATTGAACTGATTATATGATCGTGACCAATGTTATCAAATTCTTTTTTTTTTTTTTTTTTTTTTTTTTGTTCTTCCCTACCTCGCCTTTTAGGCTATACAGGATTTTCCTGGGCCGGGGGGTGAGGGCGGGGAATTTAAAATCCCCTCCGGCACCGGGACGTGAACTCGTACTTTTTATATCATCTCAAATCTCTGTTATCCGGTTGCCAGGCAACTAGCGGTGCTGTTACACACGCTTTAGCCTATTCGGCCACCCCGCCCCCTATGTTATCAAATTCGCCGACGACATCAAGAAATACCACCGTGCAATCATTCTTCCTATTCTTAGCTTCTTTTATGATCGTGTCGATGATTCTTGTGCCCTCATGTGCCCTGGTAGCAATTATAATAATTACATTGAGCTACTTCATATTGGTATTGCTCCTGCCGACAACTCATATCTACCTTGTTGGCCCTACATTTTCCCCGCACTCTTGCCAGCCGTGTCCGTATAATTTTTTTTCCTCAACTTATAAAATTTAACGGCAGGGTGCTGTTGGCCTGGCAATTCATCGTTGATGTTTTTAAAAACTGCCCACTGCTTCGTTGAATTCTACAAGATCAATATTATTTTGCCGAAGAAAGTCCTGAAAGGTAGCCGACCATCTGGTTATTTCCCTTTTTACTTCATCTCCCCCATCCTCTCAATTTCTATCATTTAATCCATTATTAATTAAGCCCCTCAGTCTATCGTTATTTGCCTCCCTGGGATGCTTCTTACCTATATGGGTTCTGAGACCTCTATCACCCATGAAACACAGCCCACGGATGGAGCATACCTTGTTGTTATTCGCTGGGGAAGGGTCCTGTTCCCTCTCTTCTGTTTCACTACCTGGTTCTCCGGATGCCTGTGCTGGTTTAGGCAAACTGGGAAACACATCATCTATTGATACAATTTTTCCCAATACTTGTCCTTCTTTGTCTTGCCACTCTTCCTTGAGTTTTTTATCACCACCTTCCGTGGCAGCCGCAGCAGACCTCATAGGGGCCACCACTGCTTCTCGGACTGGGCTTCAGTCCTCCTGATCTCAGAACCTATACCTTTTGACCTATGCCAAAACTTTTGAAATTACTTGGATTTGAGTCCATATCTTTTTATCCTTACAATAATATGTTAATAATATAAGTATAAATAAAATTACATAGAAAATAAATAAAAATGCAGGATTTCAAAGCATTTACTTGACTTCATTAAATAGGTTTTAAAAGAACAAGTTAATAAATAGTTTAAAATGATTTATAAATAATTAAAAAGTTAAAAAAATTATGCCTGTATGTTAAAATCAAACAAATATTAAAAAATATATATACACACAGATAAAATGAAGTCAATAAGTTAAAATTAAATAAATAGATTTAAAATATGTGGATTGATTAAATATTGTTAGTACGTTAACATTATATAGATAGATTAAAAATATATATAAAAATTAAATTATGTCAGTAGGTTAAAATTAAATAAATAGATTAAGATATTTAATTATACAAATAGTCTAAATTTATTACTTTTAGATTAAAATACCAAAATATATAAATAGATCAAGAAACCTATATAGATAATAAATATATGTGTGCGTCAATATACTGTTTAAACGAATTCATAATAATAGATGAAAATGTATTCTTAGGGAAAAAAATAAATAAAAAAATTACAAACAAGAATAAAATAAGTTATGTTGGGCTCCTTCGATGACAGCTGATTGAGATGACACTGACCTTGCTGGAGGTGACGAGACAGCCATGGTGGGGGATTGATTGGACAAAAACAAGAGCAGTTTTCAAGATTCTGGAAAAAGTGGAACTTTTTAGTGAAAAGTTATAGATATGATAAAGGATTGGAATAATGGATGGAAGCGAGGATTTAATTAATTTATCTGGGATAATATCTGGTCCGAAATCATTGGTTTGGGATTTACGAATGGATTTAAGGAGGTTGTCAGTGGTAATATGAGAAAAGAAAAAAATATTGGGATTAAAGGAGGGATAACTCAGGGGTGGAACTGGTGCTTGGAAAGAGGGATAAGAGGAACAGAAGACAAAATGAGTGTTGCGTACGTCAGCTGAAATATAGGTAGGGTGGGTTTGCCTAAGGACAATTTATGGAGGATTGCCAATATGGCTTTGGAGTTTGGAGTGCTGGATAGGGATTATTGAAAGTAATGCCTTAAAATTACGAGAATTTCTGAGGACACTGTCATGTTTCTTCTTTGAAACAAATAACTAAACTGAGGCTTTTTTTTTTAGTCAAATGGGATTAAACGAGCTTAGAGAATGCTCTAAAGGGATTATTAAGTATTAAATAGGATTAAAATGTTTACAGTCCTTTGAAATCTTGAATTTGATAAAACAGTCATTTTTTTTTTTTTTATACACCATACTATATTGAGGATTTAAGATGTATAAACAAACATAAGATTTGTAATTCATTATGAGTTAAAATAATAAATGTAAAACCTTTTTTTTTTTTTTAATTTATATGAACTTTCTAGACAACCCTATTGTTGAAATATGTAATTTGTAAAGAATTTACAAGAGAGAATTTTATAAGAAGGTGAGCAGAGCACTCTGGCAACTACAACTTTCAGATATTTAGCTAATAAATAAAGAATTTTAATGTAAACTTCCAGATTTTTTGAGTAATTCGTTGTTTACTTACATTTCTATTAGTTGAAATCAATAAAAAAAGTTTCATATTTCAATAAAAACTAAACATGAACGAATTTGAGTTATGATGTCTTGTACAGGTAATGTAAGGATGGTTTAGACACCAAACCAAACAAAGTTCTTAGATTATTGTCCTCTTCTAAGTAATGGAACTCAAAATATGTACATAAATTGCATAAAAGTTTTATTTAATATATTCACAAACTCCAATGTTGTGTTCGAGAAATTACTCTAATCTTTGCCCAATCTAAGACCTTATTCTTTGAGCCTAACATTTCATCACTGCGGAACTTTTCTTCAGCCCTAAACAATATTCTGAGAATGAATTTGTGTATATCTTCAATTTTATTTAGTCCCAGTGGTAAAATTCCATTTACTACCGTGGTCTCTGGGCAATAAGCCCTGGTGCAGTGAAATGTGGTACAGATAGTGCCTATGACTTCTTAAGTATATCTAAATTGAACTTTTAGCAACACTTCTTATCCTAGCTGAATTCCACAAGATATATGAGGATTGGCTTGAAGAATATTTTTGATTCTATCTTCAGCTACAGTTATTTGGGCAATACTTATCTTTTTTACTGCATAGAAAAATTCCCTGCATGCAAATTCACTCTAATCCTATAAAAAACTTTTTAGCTTGGGTGCAGATATTTTTCAACATAATTTGGGCTGCCACCGTATAATTTTCATTACATGTCCCACCATTTCGCTCTTGGTAAACGTAGCAATAATTTCTTTCAGAGCTGCTTGCATTCAACTACTGGAAGTACATCTGACTTACTTTGATGGTTTCTACAACCTGGGGTGGGTCTTGGCCTCCTCTAAGAGCTTCCGCCATCCAGTTCGGTCTCTCGTCGCTGACTTCCAGTTCTATTGGTGTATTATCGTCTGCGAGTATGCAGCCACATCATCGATCCCTCTCAAACTGGTTCTTTCTCTTCTCTTTGTTTAATCCAGCACCCCATCCATCACTTTGCTGGGTATCTTCTCTCCACATGTCCTGAGCCTGCCCACCTTGACGAACTGTACTACAGCAGTGTTTTCGTATAAGCTGTAGAGTTCATAGTTCCTCCTTCTCTATGCTTATCCTTCTCTAACAGAGCCATGTACTCTTAATATTTTTCTTGAAAAAATTAAGAGAATTTCTCATCTGCATTTCCATTTGGTATTGCCCAGGTTTGTGAAGCATAGGTAAGAACTGACCTTATCAAAGTCTAATACAGCTGTACCTCAGCTCTGCTTACCTGTATCTGGTAAGCAGGCGGCTCTTCATCTACTTTGTGAGTCCAAAATAGCACCGGTTGGCTTCCGTAATCCAAAAGCAGATTTCGAGGGGCATGTTGTTTGATGAGGTGACAAGTGTTCTCAGATACTTGCAATTTGGGACCCTTTCGAAAGAGAAATTTCCTATTGTGAGAGCTTGGGCGTTAACTTGCTTATTCTTACCGTTCATGAGCATGTATTTGGTTTTGGTCTCTCTAGACCAATATTCAGCACTGCCGACTGAAGAGCAAGAAAGGCATCCTCCATAGCTTTCCTTGATCTCCCCACTATGTCTACATCGTCCACGATGGCCAATAGTTGTATACTTCGATCGATAATGGTTCCCGAGGTCTGAACTGCCTTCTCCAGGGCAAGTATGAATAACAGGTATGCCAATCCATATTCTTGGCATAGACCTTTTCCCGTGCAAAACTCCCTTGAGTGATCTCCTTGAACTTGGATTGTGCTGCAGATTCCTTCCATCGTCATCTTTACCAGTCTTGGCAGCTTTTGAGGGATCCTCAGATTAACCAGAACTTCATATAGATTTGATCGGTTGACACTATCATAAGCATTCTTGAAATCCAGGAGTAAGTGGTTGGTTGGCTATTGGTACTCTATTCCTTTCTTCATTATCATCCTCAAAGCTAACAATTGGTCAATAGTAGACCTTCCTTTTCTGAAATCCGTCTGGTACTCCCCAACCATCCGCTCAGCATAGGGGAATAATAGAATAACAGACAGGACATTATACACGCTTGGGAGGAAGGAAATCCCACGATAATCTGAACATATTGTGCGGTTCCTTTTCCCATGTGTGCTTGCGTGCGTGCGTGTGTGAGTGAGTGAATAGCCCTGCTGAAAAACTAAAAGTCATATGAAGCTGAAATCTGTATTTGAGGTTTTTACAAGCCTGGGATATTACATCAAAATTGGCAAACCAGAAGTGGTACTTTATATAATCGATTTAACACATTTTTACAATTTTCTCGAAAACGGCTCTAATGATTTTGATTCAGTATATCAGTGTATTATTAAGGAGTTTTTAATATAATATAGGTATTATTCTCATTGATCTTCTTTAACAGCATTTAAATGGCTAATTTTCAATATTAGCTTCCTCTAAAGTACCTTTAATTTTTTTAAAATAATTAACCATTTCACATTAATATTAGATATAAAATATGAAAGAATTGGGTAATTGACTAAAGGAGAAATAAGAAATTTTAATGGATAATAGTTGTAATGGAGGAACTACAAAGGAATACGAGCGTGCCCGAGCTCGCCTGAAAGATTAGAACAGGCTTCCATACCTAACATGAGCTTAATTTAATATGGATTTCAACAATATTATGTACTTATTCATATGCAGTTTTCATAAATACTATCGTTGGTATTATTAAATATTTAATTGTATAAATTACAGCATATATAAAAATTAAAATTTATATATATAAGGGTAATTAAATGAATAAAAATACCCACAATGAAATGTAAATAAATATAGTGTCTATAATTTTTGCTTTTACTTGCTCTTTTTCTGAAAATACTTATTTCTGCTAAAAAGAGGGTACTAAGTGAAAGTTTTGAGGTGGGTGTACCAGATTTTTTTTTCTTATTATTCTGTCCATTATTATATAATTTTCTTTATTTTTTATATATAATTTAAGACAATTGACAGTTATTGTTTTTCAGATTTCTGAAAACCCCACTGAAAGATCTTCAGGCGATTGTGTTTTAGACTGCCCTAAAACAGATAAACCATGCACTTTTTCAACTTGTTGTGGTCCTTCTAAGCAGGTATTTGATTTATGACAAGGTGAATATATTTATAATTAATCTGGGCAAATTTCTTCTTATTAAAATTTTACTTTCTTATAAGTCAGTTACAGATGTATGGTTTAATTGATTTTTAAATATAAATTGAATGCATCATGTTTCATAATGAGTTATGCTGTAAATGAGAAGACAGTATGCTATTTTGTTGTGTAACTGTGGTATGTTCTAAATTCTTGAGTGTTTTCTAAGAAATACCTCCTTAACCTACCGGCCATATCTCATTGTAATATATTAAAAACATGAAAAAATAACAGTACAACTAAATGCTCCAAACAATCCTAACCTTAAAAATGTTCTTTTTTTTTTTTTCATTTTGATAAAAGTTTACTTGAAAATGATCCTGTCACACAAAATTAGTGAGCTTAAAAATGAAGAAATCAAGAATTTGCAGAAAGAATAAAAACAAATTAGTTAAATAAAAAAATGTTCATATTCTGTACATATTCCCTCAACAGTTAATTAGCTTCAATGGCAATTCATTATAATTAACTATGTTAGATAATCATGAAGTTGGAAAAAAAATAGTGTTATAAACCATATTAAAAAAATAGAATCATTAATAACTTAAATTGTGGGTAGATGGTTGACTGTAGAGAATAATTGAAGAGAAGGATGGTTGGGTTGACCAGTCGAAATAAAAATAGCAAAAATAAATAATAATATTAGTTTTTACATTTGCCAATATTTTGGCCTGAAGTTCAGGCCTTTATCGGGGATAAGGAAAGAACCAGGGCCAAAATATCGGCAAATGTAAAAATTAATATTATTATTTATTTTTGCTATTTTTATTTCGACTGGTCAACCCAACCATCCTTCTCTTCAATAACTTAAATTAAATTGCAAGATGATAAATAGTTCAAGTAGATATTTTGAGTCCTGAATAACTGGAAATATGAAATAACTATGTCCTGCTATATCTAATCATTTGATAGTATTTCAAGTATAGTTAGTTATGATCCCTTCTTTCTTTTTATGCACCAGAGTGGTAAACCATTGAAGATACTTGGAACAATGAAGTTAGTTTATCAATTAATAAATTAAAATCAGCCAAATTATCTATATATCTGTATCTCTACATCTATATCTCTACATGATTACAAATTATCTATACTTCAAGTTGACCTACGAGAAATGCTAGAAAATTATAATTTCTGTAATGAATCTTCTAATTAACAAAGTCTGGCCAAAGAAAAATCGCCTAATGATGAAAAGAATCTATACTGATCAATATGACCTATACTGGGGAGTGATTCATAGGCCATGGTTGTTAAATTTGATGTATTCAACTTCTAGATTCTCTAAAAATTCAGACTTATTTGTCATGTAATTAGCTGTTTACTTATACTTAATATTTCAAATTGTCTAACTGAATCTAGTTGTTCCCAGCATTACAGCTTTTTGTTCTTCCTCCACTATAACTTGAAAAATTATAATGAAGAGAAGAATAGTTGGGGTGGTCAGTCAAAAAGGAAGGCAAAAATAAATGATAATATTTATTTTTTACATATGCCGACGTTTCGACCTGAAGTTCAGGCCTTCATCAGGGCTGTCTCCTTAAGTGTCGCAGGGAGAATCAATCTGCTAATGTTGTACTACTCGTTACTGTACATTGATTATACTATGCTACTTTACATAGTTGTTTCTTTTCATTCAAACATACTTTGTATATAATACAAGTTACTTTACACTATTTGGTTGCGTATAGAAAAACGAAAACTGTTTCTCTCTTTTCCAGGAAAGGTTTATCCATTAAACCTTGGTATAAAGATTAATTCTTGTACAATTCAGAACATTGCAATACCTGCTTTGTAGCTATTTACTACTCCAATATCTTATCAGTTTTTCACATTTTTATTTGTTCTTTAAGATTTGCTGCAGTTTTATTTTGGTCTAAGGTTAGTCAATACTAGTAAATTACTGTTCACTATATAATTCCTTAAATGCATTATTTATTTTTGAACTTCTGAAGAGGTTGGTAATTCCTCCTTTGCTTTGTTTCTTCATAAAATAAAGTAGTCCAAAGTTAGCAATCTTGTGGCTGTTCATTTTATTACCAAAAGTGTACACTAATCCAATATCAGATTTATTTATTGATTTTATAATATTCTCAAATGGGTTTTCAAATTTTGTTCAATACACCTCATGAACTTCATGTTATGTTTCTTCAGATCCCGGTCTTCAGATTTATATAAAAGGGCCCTCTGAGCCGCTACTTTCAACAGATCTTTTATTCTTTGATTCTCTTCTCTGTGGAACTCCATCCCTTCCTACATCCATCACTTCAATATCTCCCTCCCACTTTTAAATCCTTTCTGTTCAATCACTTCCAATCCATTTACTCCCCATAAAATTGTAAACAGATAATTCTCTAAATTATTAGTTCGTTTTTAATTATTTTTATTTCACATTTCTTTAATTTTTTTTCTTAATTGATGAAAGTTAGAAAGTAACTTTTATATATGTATATAGCGTTGTCTATTTGTTTATTTTGTGATTTTTCATGTATATATATATATATCTCCAATATATGGGCTCCAAAGTCCACATTTATGTCTTTTTATATTATTCTAAAGGGACTTGTCCCACAATAAATAAAGTATATTATTATTATCAGAATTTCACACTTAATCAGTCAATGCTGGGAATATTCACCTACCTGAACTCAATGAGTCAAGGGTTAGGCTCTGTTTATGAAATATTAAAAACATTTCTAACAATGCTGGTAGTCCCTAGTTGCACAGGTTTCTGATCTTCTTTTGGGATATAATCAGGAAGAAGATTACTTCTTCCTAATTCTTTGCAAGTTGTCATTTCCTATGGGACCAACCCATTGCTCGAAATGATGAAGGACACTTCCTTATTTTAGGCTGTAGAGTTTTTACAGTTCCTCACAGAGCTTTTCTTATTTTCTCTTTAATCGCTTTTTGAATGTTGTCATTATTGGGAACTGCTATCTCAATAATTGCCGTTACCTTTTTCTTTTTTGTTTAGCCAGAATATATGGTTTATTGTTAGGCATAGTATGGTCTGTGATTATAGATTGATCCATGTAATCAAAACAATAAATGATTGTTTCTTTATCAGAAAGGATAGACTTTGGGGAGTAACGATAGTAAGATTTTGACCCCTTAGTAAGTTTATAATATTCGGCCAGACTTTGGTTAATTACTTTTGCCAAGTTATTATGTCTTTCCAGGTAGTCTTTCCCTGCTAATATTGTGCATTTTTTTGTTATATGCTAAGTGGACTCAATTCTCCTTTGCAAAGTTGGAATTTTTCACTAACGTCCTGATTAAGTATATACTTGCAGTAGGAGTTAGTTGGCGCTACTTGGTCCTGTATAGCAAATAGAAAACCCTCTTTTTCTGAAAACTATTTTCCTTTTCGAAGCCATTCAACCAAGACAGAATGATTAATGCCTGCTGAAGTGAGGGCATTGCAAAACCTACCAGTTAGCTGCTCCAATCCCTCATCAGTTCCTCACTGATTACTGCCCTTTTAGGTTCAGCTGCTAGATATAATGCAGTTAGGTTTTGGTCCATTTTCTTAATAGTAGTCATTAATTGTGATTTGCAATTGACAATATAATTCTCAGCTGCATTTCCTGTTCTCAGCAGCTTTTGAAAAAGCTAATGAGTCCTCTTCCATCTTGATTCTTTGGGAGGTATAATCATAAAAATGATGATTTTGGGTGTTTTTTTCTGGTCACATTGATCACCACTCTGAGCCTATGGTATAACACTTAAAAGCTAGAATCTGTCCATAGGAATAGCCTATGCATTTATAGTCTTTACAATATTACCCAATGATAGATGTGTTTTCAGGAGGAACACATTATAATTATTATTATATACATCTCTTATATTAAATTTATTTATCATTTTTTCTTATCTCTTATTTTTTTAGTTATAAGATTTTTTTTTTATCTGAAAGCAATTATAATGTCATAAATTGGTCAGGATGATAAATTGGCCGTAACTGCTCGGGCAGGTTAAGGTGCTTGCAGTAAGTAATTTAAGCAAATGTTCTAAGCCAAGTACCTGGTTTTTAGGTTTTGAGAATGGGGGATGTTGATTGAAGCAAACCTCATTCTTGATTCTAATCTGTGAAACAGTTATTAACCAAAAATGCCATGACTCCATTTATTCACTCCTTCTATTTATCACACCTGCCCCCTGTGATTTCTTTCTGTTCCCTAGACTCAAAACGGTTACAAAAGGAAAACGTTTTGAGACTGTGAAGGAGGTAAAACTAAAACCGGTGGAAGGGCTAAATGATATCCAAATAAGTGAATTAAAACAGCTTTGAACAACAGAAATGATTGATGGATAAGTGCATATCAGTCAATGGGAATTACTTTTATGGCTATCAAAATAAGAAGGCATGATGAAGTTCCTTTTTGATTTTTGTTTTTTAGAGGTCCTTATTTTTAGAGGTCCTGCTTACTCTGTAGCCAAATTACAGATCTATTTGTCAAGTCCTTGAACCTGAGTGATCGACAGGGAAAGACACTGCCCGAGGAGAGGACAACATAATAAAAAAAGGGAGATTGGCCACCCAATCTCCCTTTTTTTATTTTTTTGTCCTCTCCTCTTTCTTCTTTTAGGCTATATGTAGTTTTTCCACTGCTAGGGGAGAGGGCAGGGGATTAATGCCATATCAATGTTTTTATTTTGATAGCCATGAAAGTAATTCCCATTGACTGTAATGCACTTATCCAATCATTTCTGTTTTCCAAAGCTGTTTTAAAATTCACTTATTTAGATGTCATTTAGCCCTTCCTGCGATTTTAGTTTTACCTCCACAGTCTCAAAATGTTTTTCTTTTGTGACCTTTTTAGTCTAGGGAACAGAAAGAAATCAACTGTTTAAATAACTGCTTAATAACTGGGTTAATAACTGCTTCACAGTAAGGTGTTGGCAGGTTCGAAAGAATCTTATAATGAAAGAACCAATCTTTCA